ATTAATTACTTCCCACGATTAACGATTTGTGAATGAATCGAGGCGACGACTGTTTACCGAGACAAATATTTTGCGCGATTTATTCTCGTTTAAAGCGAAAAACGGTATGAGAGCGAATGGGAATTGTGAATTATTCTCTCGTCGCGATATCTATATTTCTCTCTCTCTCTCTCTCTCTCTCTCTCTCTCTCTCTCTCTCTCTCTCTCTCTCTCTTTCTCTCTCTCGAGATAATTATTTCTTTTTAGGGCTTCAATATTTCTCGGTTCGAATAGACTTCAGGTCGAGCTTTAAATTTTACGTGCGCTTTGTTGCAAATTATCCATTAATTTCAGATTAAAAACGTGAAGTGACGTACGAATTACCGGAACGGACGATTCAAGTAATGGAAAGTAATGAATCAGTTGTTTATAAATAATACTGTGTATTTCGTGGGATTAACGCGTTCGAAATGTATTGCGGGAGTGCGATATATTTGAATTACGATTTTGTAATTCGGGACGGTTCATTGCGTTTTAATTAGCCATTAACTTGATTCCCGCGGCATCGAAGTTTTCAAATTTTTCGCTTGTTAGCAAAATACGTCGCGATGACGGAAACGGAAACGGGTAAACGCCGAGTTGAGCGGCGTCACGACATGTTTAATTAATAAACGTAGCGTCGTGATTAAGTCTAGCATTTTAAGGTTTATCGAACGCACACATTCGACGTTTGCGCGTCCACTATACTTGATTACAAAAAGAACACTACTATTTTTCCTAAAAAAGTAACGATATCAACGAACTGCACCAACTATAACAACGGATATTTATACAAATTAGAATATTTTATTTAATATAATGCATATATAATTGCGACTCACGATATTATTGTTTATTAAAAAAACCTGGTGCTGCATATTGAGGAGGAGCAGTGGCGACTCGATGAGTCAAATTTAACGCCACGAATTTAACAGTTCCATGAAGAAATTCACGTAAATAAATTATTATGCTTTAAAAGTAATAACATTACTTGTTAGCCTCCTTGATTCGTCTTCTTTTTCAAAATTACTTTTTAGTTTATCAATGACTTAGCAAATTCGATGAAGTATAACGTACTCGAGAATTGATATTACATTTTCATGTTGTTGTCAATCGCGTTGTCTGAAAATATTCCCCATTTATAAAAGGGCAGCAAAATTCGTCGGTATGACGAAACGATCGAGCCAATAACGCTTTATTTTATAAACTTCGTGTATGAACATTTTTTATGCATAATAGATTATGTTCCGAGGTTAAACATTTGAATCGCTAATCTGTCACAATACATTCATTCCCAAGCAATGAAAAATGTTATCTTATGTGATGTTATTCCATAAAGAGATATCTGTAACATTCGCCCGGCAAAAAATTGTTCGTGCATGAACGTGCATAAATATATTAAATAAAATTATAAATGGAAAATGTCTATACAAATTTTTCCATTGTACATTTCTATATAATTTTATACGTTTCTACACAGTTATATATAATTTAATAGATTTATACACGATTTTATACGAGAGACTTTTAAAAGGGAAAAAATTGTTCATTTATTGTATAATTATATATAACTTTATACTTATTTATAATTATATATAATTGTACACAATTATATATGTATAATTATAAATAAGCAATCTTTCATATTAACAAATTTTTCATATAAAACTATAAAATTATGCAGAACTGTATAGAATTGTATAAAATTATATAGAAATATACAATGTAAAAATATGTATGGACATATTTGATATTTTTTTTTATAGAATTCTATATATTTTATTCATGTTCACACATGAAAAATTTTTTATCGAGCGTGAAATCATTACGTCAAGTTAAAACAAAACTTAATTTAACATTTACCGATATAATGCGCAGAATTGCGACGGTACGTTAATCTGTAAAATAGAAATACATACAACTTATTTTATCGCCCAAATTACCCAATAAATACTCGAAAAAACAACTTCTTTGCGTAATTTATGAAAAAAGTTGTTTTTCTCGCGTTAGAACTTTCGTAAAAGAACTTTATAAATAAAAAACTTTTTTCACAATAGAGCGAGATTGTATAAATAAATCATTTCACGTGCAAAACTTCCATGAATTTTACGTAAATCGAATAAACGATACGAATATACGAAGAAAAAGAAGTTATTCGATGAGCAGTAAATAATAAATATGTATCAACTGATCTCTTTTGCAAGGTCGTATCTTGATTTTATGCAATTTTCGGTTTTTGTGCTTAAACGTTTATTCTGGTCCAGGAAAATCGAGATACGACCTTGCGCAAGATAGGTATCAGCCGGTATATCGGATTAGAAATACGTTTGAATCCCGGTGCGCGTTTCGATTTATTGCGCGCGTACTGTCGATCGCGCGATACTCGTTGCATCACTGCATCTACGAGGGTGGGTTGAAAAGTTACGAGCCTAACATAGAAACATGTTTTTTTTTTCGGTCAAACTCACTTTTATTTTTCGACTTAGGCCCGTCGATTCATATGTCAAAATCATCTTAAGTGTTGTCTTAAGAGGCTAATACGGCTCTGTGATTGGTTAAAAACACATTAAGAGTATACTTAAGATGATCTTAAATATAAGAACGGACTGGAACGGACTATGAATACCGGCCATAGTCTCCTTTTAAGTCGATACACTTAATCCAGCGATGCTCCAACCGCTTTAACCCGTCCAAATAATAGTTGGCGTCTTGCTCTGCGAAATAGGCATCTATGGATGCTACGATCTCCTTCGTTCGTTGAAAATTTCTGTCCTCCGAGCCAAACTTTGAGTTTAGGAGACAGAAAAAAGTCACTGGGGGCTAGATCTGGCGAATACGGGGGCTATAAGCCAATCAGTTCGAACCGCAAGTCGTGAATTTTGGCCCGATATTCGATTTTTTCCATGTTTACGAAAATACTAACGTCCACTGACACAAACGACTGTCGTACAACTGAAAGCCCAAAGTGGCTGAAACTTTCAGAGATATCCTTCAAAGCACGTACATACAGTCGCAGCTTCTTCTTCTTCTATGACTGGCACAGGGCTTAAAACCAAGCCCACAAGGCCACGGCTAACCAATAGTCCTCCGAGGTGAAGCCTTCCTCACTACCGTCTCCAATATACTATCTAATGTTTAAAACAATGCAATTACCCGGTAACCAGGCCACGCGCGGAACGATGCAATCGGATGACGCAACCCCGCGGGATCAAAAAATTTTTCTTCGGTCCGAAGACGTGTGTATCACTCGGCGTTTCAAACGGAACTTGGGGCCATCGCACACAAAATTGCATAGCTGCATGTGCATAGCATGAAAGCCGTTTAAACCAATGAACATCGAGCATTGAGTCGCCATATTGATTTACATAACATGCTCATTGGTCCAGACGGTCTTGTGCTATGCAGTGGTATACTTATAACTGTAAATCAGTGGCTATTCACTGTTTTTAGTGATAATCCACCGATTGACTTTTAGAGAGTGCATATGCAACTACGCAATTTTGTGTGCGATGGCCCTTTCGCAGCGATGGACATAATACTAC